CCCGTCCTCCACGCCCCGCCTCCACCTAACGCCGCCTTGCCTCCTCCCCCAACGCTGCTGGCCTCTAACCCTGAGCCCGCGCTTCTGCAGAGCCTCGCGTCCCTCCCGCCTAACCAAGCTTTCTTGCCCCCCACCTCTGCTGCCTCTCTGCCGCCTGCTAACGCCTCTTTGTCTATCAAGCTCACCTCCCTCCCGCACAAGGGCGCCCGCCCCTCCTTCACGGTGCACCACCAGCCCCTGCCCCGGCTGGCCCTGGCCCAGGCCGCGCCCGGGATCCCGCAGGCCAGCGCCACGGGGCCGTCCGCGGTGTGGGTGTCCCTCGGCATGCCGCCTCCCTATGCCGCGCACCTTTCGGGGGTTAAGCCGCGATAAAGACCTTGCTTAGCTAGCAGTGCGTATTGTGTAAGGTAAGGCCGGAGCCCCGCGCAGTGGCTCACTCCAGACACTGAACTGTCCTTCCTTTGGCAGAGAAGATGGCCACAGGGCTTGGCAGAAGTCCCGGGGGTCCTGAGAAGGGAAAAGGGAGAGAGCCAGGGAGACCAGGGAGATGGTCACGCGAGAGGGACTGCAGGACGGGCACCAGCCGTGGAGTGGCCTGAGTGTGTTGAGTTCCAGCTGCCCACAGCTGGGTCCCTGTGGTGATGCCGCAGGACTGAGGTCAGCCCTGGGGGCAGCTGTGTCAGCCCCTGTGGGTGAGGCTCACAGGGTGCCAGGCCAGGGGGCTGGGGGCTCTAGCTCCTAGAGCGGCCTCCAGGGCTCCATCTGCACCAGGCGCAGGTCACTCATGACAGGTGGCATGGCTTGGTGCTGTTCTCCAGGCGCCCAGCGTGTAGCAGGCACAGTGCTGGCTGTAGAGGTCCTGGGGAGCCAGGGTGGCTGGATGGATGCCTCTGGTCGGGGCCTGTCTGGCCGGTGGCCTCGGATACCCCTCATAGGGAGCCAGTGAGGCCCCTGGTGCCCCGCCTGCCTGGGGGCTGATGGGTTCCTGGCGGGGTCGAGAGGCAAGCTCTGTGCCCTGTGTGTTGGGGCTCCCTTGCTAGACATGGCTGATGGCGGCCACACTGCTCTGTGGTTGTGGCCCACAGCCAGGGGGCTTTCAGCCACTCAGATGTCAGCACCGCATCGGGCAGGTTAGTGTAGATAGTGTCCACCTTTGAGACCAGGAGGAAGTTGGAGGCAGGAGTGGTTTTGATGATGTGAGGCCTTGAGGGACTGTCCTGTCCACTCCTCCCCTGAGAGTCTGTGGAGACTGTGGCCGCTGACCCAAGGGCAGTTGGCCACCCATGCCCTCCAGGGACATGGTGTGCCCGGCAGCGCAGTGCGAAGGTGCCCTCTGCTCGTCCCTGGCCTTCTGCCTCGGCGGGGGGCCCTGGGACGCAGGCCTTCCTGGGCGAGTCCAAAGCCCACCAGGCAAGGAGAGGAGGACTGGGAGCCAGGAGCCAAGGCGGAGGCCGTGGCCGGGGCTGGTCGGCCAGGCGGGTCGGTGCGGGCACCTGCGGGCTGAACAAGCTATGCTGGGTCTCATAGGAGATGAGCTGCAGGTAGGGTGGCTTTAGCTGAACTCGGCTGTGTGTCTCCTTTGGAGGAATGCCGGAGCTTGGCCTGCGTGTCCACGTGTCAGGCTCCCTGGGTCTGCCACGGGGCACGCCCATCATCTGTTGCGGTTAGAGGGAGCTGGCACCATGCCTGTCATGGTGCTGGCCCCAGGTGGCCTGTGTGCTCGTGGGAGGCCTCGGTCCCCAGCCTGGGTGAGTGTTGGGCTCCCCCAGACGCGATGGTAACCTCAGGTGGTCGCTCTTCCCACTGTGCCCTTCTGCAGGTAACTAGGATTTCTACCTCAACCGCGAGACCTATGCAAGGACGGTGTGGACCAACTCGCGCCCGTGGCATGGTGCCCACCGGCCTGCCGGGCTCCCACCCCTGGATGGCAGAGGCGAGGACGGACGGGAGCTCCACTGTGAATCGGCGGCGCACGCCGCAGGAGGCTGGGACTGGTCCAGTTTGTACTGTCGATAGTTTTAGATAAAGTATTTATCATTTTTTAAAAAGTATAAACAATTCTGACTTATTTTATTCCATCTGAGTGGTAAAAGGCAACCTCTTGAGAAATATAAATATCTATATATGAGAGATCTATATAAAGACACATGTCTGCAGGGCGGGCCCGCCAGCGGATTCGCCGACAGCCTGCCCCGGTGCTATCTCGTCCCCAGGCCCGCGCCTGCCTCCACCCGCTTGGTGCTGACTAGACGCTGACAACGCCGAACCCCGTTCTCAGAAACGCCGCCCGGCCAGCTCCCCCGACGCACTGCTCCCGTACCAAAGGCAGGCCCGTCGCTACCACATTCCTCGGAGGCCCCCGCCGCGGCCTGAGCCCCTTCCTGAGCCCCTGGCGCCTGCCCTGAGCTCTTCACCTTTACCCCGGCACTGTGAACCCTTAGACTGTTCACCCTCCGGGGCTTGGGTCGCGCCCTTGCACGAGAACGGGTCTGCGCGGTGGTGTAGCTGGCCGTGCTGTGCGATGGTGCTGTGAGGACGGCGCAGGCACGTTTAACAAGTGCATTTACTTTTGTATTTCTCGGCTGTCCATGGCTCGCAGCGTGCCCTGCGATGTGGGGCAGGCCTGTGTGGGTCCGTTGGTGTTTCTGTACAGGAGAGAGTCACACTAATGAGTGGCAGTATTTTATAGAGATGTGATGAGAATTTATAAATTTCATAGATTTGACAGCTTTTATTTTTAGATGGTATAATGCACAGTGAAGAGGAAAAAAAAGCGAGGGGAAAAACCTTATTTATTCAAACAGTGCACAAAGTGGCCCCAGGGTCGGCCCCCACCCCAGACCCCGCAGTGGCAGCTCCCAGCAGCCCAGACAGAGCTGCCGGCGCCCCTGCCTGCCCCACATCCCCTTCCTGTCAGGGTCACGCCTGGCACCCGTCCCGTGAAGCCTGTGGTGGCTCTCCCAGCTGCTGTGGGTGTGCTGGGGCCGGGGTGCACTGCTGAAGCCTGGCCTCTCTGGCCTTAGGCCCTGGGGTGATGTCGGCCCCCCACTCTGCAGCCTGGGGGGTGCCTGGGACTGCGTGTGGAAGGAGAGGCACTGAGGCTGGGGTGTGGCAGGCAGGCAGGGCCACTCTGGTGCTTCGGGAGCCCTGCAGTCAGCCTGGGTTGTCTGGGGAGTGGTGGCTCTGTGCCCTCCCTGGAGGATGGGATCTGGGAGTCTGAGCTGCCCACACCTGACCCCGGGCTGTGTGGCACTCCCTGAGCTCACCTTCTCAAGTGCTTGCCCCTGTGAGGTGGCATCCGGGAGCCCCTTCCCCAGGGTGCCACAGATCCACCCTCCAGGTGTCAGCCCTGCGTTCCGGTTCCCAAGGGCAGGATGGACACACACCATGTCCCTACCACGTTTTCCTGCCGCGTGGCCTCCAGAGGGAGCCGAGGAGGAAAGGTTTCTGTGGTTGCTAGGTGGGCGAGTGCTGTGTGGGAGGGCCTGGAAGACCCCTGCTTGTGCCTGGTGGGGGTGCTGCCTCCCCCGGCCCCCAACAACCTCTCAGACCCCTGTCCCCCAATATAGTTGAGTTCTGAAGATGGTGCTCCAGACCTGTCCCTTAGGTGGCGCCCAGCGCCTTCCCCGCCCCGCGTTGGTGCTCTCAGCTCGAAGGTGCTGTGCCTCTGCCTGAGCCCCAAGCCCTGAGCCTGGCCTTCAGGACGGGCAGCCCGCTCCATGTCGCCATGGGCCCGATATGCTGCAGGGTTGATGGCAGAGAAGGCATGGAGTCCCTGGTCTAGAACAAGACACATTCTTTAAACACTGTATCACTTCTGCCTCCCTCTAGGGGACAGTGGCAGTCCGGGTGCCACCGCGGGTCCTGCAGACGGGCCATGCAGGGCTCCTGCCCACGCAGCCCATATCCACACACAGACGACCGTGTGTTCAGGGTGCGCACTGGGTCTCGGAGCCACTGGCCCAGGCAGAAGTCTCCTGGAGCCCACCGGGTCACATGCGTGTCACATGCGTGTCACCACACGTGAACTAGTGTGGCGCTGCCTGTGGACACTCTCCTGCTCTGAGCCCTGGACCCGTGTCCCTCTCGGGCACTCCCAGACTGAGGAGGGGTGTATGGCAGGTGGCGGGATGGCTGTGGAGCCTGGTGATCTTGGAGCCTGGTGCTGGCACCTGGTCTGAGTTTCCATGGGCAGCCGGCGGGGACCTGTGCTGCTGCTGCTGACTGTGGGCAGGCGGGCGGCGCCTGGGAGTGGCTCTTGCTCAGGAATCGATAGGAACCCTAACGACTAGGACACCCCCTCCTTGGCCCACGAGGCACACACGGTGACTTATTTAAGACTTCCCCCTTAATTTATCTGCCCCCAAGACGCGTCAGTCTGTTCAGTGGTCAGCAGGGGACCCCCCGCCCGCCAGCTGACTGCCCTCGTCATCGGTGGTCAGATCCTCCCCCCCCGACCCCCACCAACACAACACGCTGCTGGTCTGTGTCAGCCTTTGTAACATGCGGGAGGCTCTGCCGTGTCTTTCTGGTGAACTGTATTTGGATTGCGCGCATTGTCACGGTCCGCCCCCGGGCTGCGGGCGCCCCTCCCTCCGGGCACCCCTGCATTCTGCATCCCCACCTCTAGACGCTGTAATAAACAGACCGTTTTCACTTGGACCTGGTGTGAATGGCAGCCTTTCTTCTGGGTGGCATGAGGCATCTCCTGGCGGTGAGAGGCCCCGGCTAGTGTCATCGCTGAAGCAGGGGGAGTGGAGGGCCTAGGGGTGCTCCTAGCAGAAGCTATCCTGGCCTTGGGGAGGCTTATGACTGCACCAGGCCACAGGCAAACTGCCTTCCGACGAACAAAAAACCCGATCTGCAACCCCAGTGACATGAGCAAAGTCCTTTTCACATCAGATGGACCAAAGCCAGCCAGCCCAGGCCCCAGCCACACACCGAGAGGACCCATGAATGCTAGAGGCGGGACCCCAGGTCGTCACAGGATTCCTGATACCACACAGCAGCCCCGTTCTCCCCAGGCCTGTGTCCCAGCCTCCACCTGTCCTGGCTGGGGGTTCCAGCTCCCCCCTCAGTGCAGGGGTCCCAGCCCCTGCCTCTCAGGACCCCGAGCTTTACTTCCCTTGGGTGGGGGCTCCCCAGCTGCCCCTCCCTTCTCCTTCACTTCACCGCCACCCAGTGTGGAAAAGAGGTACCTTTATTTGAACACGACAAGCACCCTGACCCCAGGGCAACCACTTCCCCAGGCGCACAACCAGGGCCTTCCTGTCTGCAGGAGGATTCACAGCTGGTGGGGGCTCGGCCCCCACGCCATTCACAGCTTTGTCTGGCTCTGTACATTCATCAGCAGGGGCAGGGCGCCACGCCACCAGCCCAGGGGCTCGCCAGGCCCCGGATGCACACAACGCAGGCGGGGCACCCGTGGGAGGGCGTGTATCCTGCAGCAGCACTTGGCACCAGGTGCCAGGCCAGTCAGGTGGGTCCTGGGGCCCCGGAGAGGGCAGCTTGCTGGGTAGTTTCACAAAATGCAGCCCCTGCCCACACCCAGCTGGCTTCAGGCTTTGGATGTCTCCAAACCAAAAACCTCCCACCGAAATCCAGGTGTGATTTCGGGTGGGTGTGACGGCTCATGCCTGTGACCCCAGCGACTTGGGAAGCTGAGGCAGGGGGATCACGTGAGTCCAGAAGGTCAAGGTCACAGTGAGCTGTGGCACCACTGCACTCTAGCCTGGGCAACACAGTGAGACCCTGATCCAAAAACCAAAAACCAAACAAAATCCAGGCATGGCCAAGCGACTCACGGCCGGGCAGGGCCAGTCCTGTCCAGCTGCACGCCGACCGCCATGCCCTGCGCTCATGCCTGCAAGCCACTCAGCTGGAACCTGGCCTCCTCGGATATGCCGAACTGCTCCAGGGGGTCCTGTGGGGTGGACGGGTGGCCATTAGCCAGGGCCGGAGGACTGCCTCTGCCACCTGCAGCCCCACCCCAGCCACCTGCAGCCCCGCCCCGGCCCTCTGCAGCCCTGCACACACCTTGCCTGTCACCTTCCGGATTTCGTTCCTGTAGAAGACGAGGCTTCGCCGCATGAACTCGTAGCTGGGGAAGAGGGTGGCACGGGGTCAGCTGCCTGCTCTGCATGGCTGCTGTGCCCACCCCAGCGGTGCCCACCACCGCCTGGCCCCACCTGGCCCGACGCAGAGCCTCCATCCACTCCTGACACTGCTCCTCGCTGCTGCACTCAAAGTGGTACTTCCTCTCAGGGTCCTCGATGAAGCCTGGGGAGGGAGCACCTGTGGTCGGTCCTGCCCAAAACCACAGGAGCAGCTTCCTCTTGCCACTGCCCAAAACTGTTCCTCCTCTGGCCCCCACAAAGATGTGTTCATGTCCTGAACCCCCAGAACCCGTGAGTGTGGCCCTGTATGGAAATAGGGTCTTGGCAAATAAACTAGTTAAAATGAGGTTGTGGCCGGACACACTGGCTCACGCCTGTAATCCCAGCACTTTGAGAGGCCGAGGTGGGAGGATTGCTTGAGCTCAGGAGTTCGAGAGCAGCCTGGGTGACATAGCAAAATCCCCATCTCTACAAAAACAAAAAATTAGCTGGGTGTGGTGGTGGGGCCTTGTAGGCCCAGCTACTCCGAAGTCAGAAGTGGGAGGATCACTTGAGCCAAGGGGGTTGAAGCTGCAGTGAGCTGTGATCACACTACTGCACTCTAGCCTGGGAAACAAAAGATTCTGTCTCAAAAATAAAAAAAAAAAAAAAGACGGCCGGGTACAGTGGCTGGAGCCTGTAATCCCAGCACTTTGGGAGGCCAAGGCAGGAGGATCACCTGTCGTCAGGAGTTCGAGACCGGCCTGGCCAATATGGCAAAACGCCGTCTCTACTAAAAATACAAAAATTAGCTGAGCATGGTGGCACACGCCCGTAATCCCAGCTACTTGGGAGGCTGGGGCAGGAGAATCACTTGAACCCTGAAGGGGGAAGTTGCAGTGAGCCTAGATCACGCCACTGCACTCCAGCCTGGGCGAGAGAGCAAGACCCTGTCTCAAAAAATAAATAAATGATAAAGTAAAAAGCGGTTGTCAGGGTGGGCCCTAAATTCTGCTTGGCGTCTGTGTAGAAGGGGAAATGTGGGCACAGACGTGATGCAGGGACAAGGTGACACTTCTACAAACCAAGGAACCTGGAGGATGCTGGCCGCCACTAGGAACTGGGAGATTCCCTTCGGCCTCAGAAGGACCCAGCCCCACCAACACCTTCATCTAGGACTTCTGGCCTCCAGAACTGTATAGAATGTTTCTGATATCTAAGCCACCTGACCTGTGAAATTTTGACAGCCACTCTGGCAAACCAGCAGGGACTCCATCTTTCCCCGCAGAAGGGAATCTCTTAAGACCCAGGAGAACACCCCCCTCTCACTCCCCCTACCCCCACCTAATGCTACACCCATGCTAGTTGTGGCAGTTGGGAAACGCTTTGGGTGGGGCTGGCCCAGCCTCTCTGTGAGTACAGCCTGGGCCCACAGGGAAGAAAGAGCAGAATCTGGAAGGAACCCAAGCTTAAGTGGACTTGGCAGGTGGGCAGGATGGTGCCCGCCAGGAGAACCTGACCTTGAGCTGCCCGTGGACAATGCATTCTTATGTCTGGGGAGGGTGGCGCCAGGCTGGGGACACAGAGGAGGCCTTGAGCGCCTGGGGAGGGGACAGTTGCAGCGCTGCTGGTGCCCCGGGCTGCGGGAGGCGCCGCTGGCTTCCCTAGCCCCACTCACTGATGGAGAAGGCGCCGGGCTCTTCCCGGATGACTCTGCACCGCTCCAGCAGCAGGGCTCCGACGGGCTGGAGGAGACACGGGCGCCGGGACG